CTGTTTATCGTGTGAACCTGTGGACTGGGGCAACAGAATAGCCGAGTATTTGCCAGTATTCAAAAGTCAATTAAGCTGTCGTTTAGCGAGGAAGTAGACGGTCTTTTCTACACCGTATATCACCGTCGAACGCTATCGCCTAAAAACCCCGCTACGTTACATGTAGTTCTCGAATGTTTTTTTTCGCCGGTGCTTCTGTAGGGATTATTATTAGTTAATTAGACCATATTTTTAACAGTAAGAAAAAAAAGTAATTCCAGTTAGGACAAGATTTCTTCTTAGTTTGAAAAAGGTAGAAAAAATGAAATTTACGTTAAATACTTAATTGGCTTTCATAGGAATAACCCGTTAGTTAAAAACACGTTATCTTGCCCTTGAGCAAGACAAACTAGTACAAGCCAGTTTTTAATCACTCGACTATTCTATATAAACTGACAATAGTTCTTTAAATTCATTCACTGGTTTTGATCGTGTATCTATATTCTGCTCTGTGTCGTCGAATACAAGAATTATAAGGTTGGTGACTTTGTATTATATTCGTTGTCTGCTGGGTTAAGCTCTGCCCTAACTGAGTCAGAGGGAAATTGGAAGTCTGGTTTAAACTCTAGTTAACCGAGAGTTTATGCTTTTAACTAAGCTCTGTTTAGGATTGCTTTAAGATAACAAGCTTCCTATAAATTTGGTGCCCTGAACAACTGAATGCAACCTTCTTGAGAGGAACAGATCAACGGAGGAACACAACCAGCAACGACGACAGATCAATGCACGGAATCTCAAAAAAAAAATAGAGGAACACAAGATAAGTTCACGTTAATATTATATCCTATAAGTCGCATATACGGGTCCATGCTAATCTAATAGATCTCCTATCTTTCAACAGTTAACGACATTTTACGATTATCGACGAAAAAACAACTCTACGACATCGACACGAGGATCCGGATCAGCGACTATTGACGCGAAGAAGACGAAATCGCCTAAGGATATTTCTACGGACATTCTGTATTTCATTCAATTTACTGCATATTAATTTTGGTATGTACTGCAATTTTCTTTCCTATTTCTTTTGTTATAATCCGTATTTCCCATGAGAGCTAGTGTCTTCCCATTTGATTTATTTAAAAAGACCAAATCTAATTTAGCTCCAACCGATAAGAGTAGTAAATTACCTAAACCAGAAGACGTATTAAAACCACCCTTAATTATTAAATCTCAGTTGCCCGATAATAATAATATGCAGTCAACTAAGCAGTCGCCTAAACCGTCGTCTTGTCAAAATTATGATCTATTCGAACCTATACCTTCGTCGTCGTCAAATAGGAAACCGTTATCACATTTTAGATATAATGATCGTGATAATATTAAAATCCCGCAATTTTGGGTTCATTCTCTCAAAGCTGAAAATATTGGTGATTTGAAAGTAACCTCAGAAAATACTTGGTCTACTGATAATGAAGTAAAATACGAATATAATTGGCCAACAACTACAACTGGGAAAATTTTTAATGCACATTTGGCTCTTACAACAATTTATTATGACCATACAAAAGGTATTCTTTTAGGCCCATTTTCAGGATTATCCACTTGCAGTATTAATTCCGGATCTTGTACTGTAGGTACTCAAACAATTATTTGGAAAAATTACCCATTAATAGATTGTCCCCCTTTTAAAAATTTCAATTCGAAAATGACATTGCATTATAATGCGTCGGGTGACATTTACCGATTAAACTTTCCGGAATTGGGAGCCAGCATCCACCAATGGGGTTCATGTGGTGCTTATGTTCAAAGATGTTTTAATACAATAACATTTTGTACAAATAATGCACTTTTATTTGAAACTCACAAATGTTCTTCATTGAAAGCTGCTGGTTTCATCAATTCTAAGTACCCAAAACTAAGGTATAGTTCCGTAGTGGTAGATTCTGTTTCTAGCACTCTGACTGGCTTTATTCAGGAAAATACTGACAGGATAACCGAGGTAATTGTTAATATATCATCAGACATCAATTACCTCGAGTGTCAACTGGAAAGTATTCTAACCCGAATATACAAAACTCTAAGTAAACAATATCCAGGTCAATTTTAAATGAAGTGTTAGGAGGCAAACATGCTGCTATAACGGTAGGGATATCCTCACAGAAATACACTGTGAGCAAATAAACGTTACTATATTACGATCACTATATTATAATAATACTTATGCAACAAGGCCACTTGTAACGTTTCTCAACAAAAATGATGTTACCATAGTTGCGCAGATATTTACAGATACGAATGTCTACGCAGGTATACATTTTTTTGAAAACTTCGTCTCCGGACGAACGTTTACTTTTGCAATCAATGGGCGATACTATACGTATATCAATTACACGCTAACTCATACAAATGCCCACATACAATCTCTAAGGCCTTCTTTAACCAAAATCAACGAAACCTTTAAACCATTGGAATATCAAAAGATATTCCAAGATATGCCCCACGGAGGACACTCAGTCTTCGAAGATCTCAATAATATTCTAATTTCGATCAATCACCTGAACTTGATCAAAGAAAAGATATTATTGGATCACAAGTCGTCCTCCGAAACAAATACAAACAACCAATTTACTACAACTAAAAACAAAGTTGAAGACAACTTTGTAAACGCTTTATCATTTATAAGTCATCCAATTTTATCGGCTTTCTACATGCTAGCATGGCATTTAGGAATGTTTTGGGGTATTGTATTGACCATACTCGTCATAAAGCGTATGATACCAATACTCAAAACCTCGTCAACGCCTGTATATAACAGAGCTAGACAATTTTGGATAAATTTTAGAAACCCCGATCAGGAACTTAATCCTGTAGAACCTTTGCCAAACGCAAATAGAACAAATAGAGAAGACACTGAGAATGCTGTACCTATACATGCCCCCCATACTTCCAATAACCTACCCAATCTATACCCCAATCTTCCTTCTTGAAATTTTCACCTCTCTTTGTATTGTATCACATATTTTGTTTTGGTGAATATATACTTGAATAAATATTTCAGAAAAAAAAAAAAATATGAAAAAAAAAAAAAGTATATATTGGTTTATTGATATCATTTTCTTATGTTTTTCGTTATTGAAAATTGAATTAATATTTCATCATCAAGGATAACTTTAAATCACTCAATTTATGACGTTATAATTTCAATTTTACATTATATTTTCAATTTCACTTACAATTTTATGTTTTTCTCTTTGTTATTTTTTTAGAGATCTATACAATTTTAGACACGTTTGTTATGCCGAAACCCCGAACTCCGTTCTTTAGGGCCGAATTATTATGTAGGGATTATTATTAGTTAATTAGACCATATTTTTAACAGTAAGAAAAAAAGTAATTCCAGTTAGGACAAGATTTCTTCTTAATTTGAAAAAGGTAGAAAAAATGAAATTTACGTTAAATACTTAATTGGCTTTCATAGGAATAACCCGTTAGTTAAAAACACGTTATCTTGCCCTTGAGCAAGACGAGCTAGTACAAGCCAGTTTTTAATCACTCGACCACTTATAGCTAACTATTTAATTGGCTACAGACATCCTTCTAAATCGTTTTACAAGAATTGCCGAGACTTAATTACGGCATTTTTACTTTATTTATTGTAAACTATATCCACGGAAAAAGGTAACCCCTAAAGGCATAACAGGCGTCTCGACTATTCTATATAAACTGACAATAATTCTTTAAATTGATTGACTGGTTTTGATCGTGTATCTATATTCTGCTCTGTGTCGTCGAATACAAGAATTATAAGGATTGCTTTAAGATAACAAGCTTCCTATAAATTTGGTGACCGCACTTGGTCAGGTCGTATCCTAGCGTTGAATACAAAAGTGCACCGTGAATATTTCTCGACTGTTTATCGTGTGAACCTGTGGACTGGGGCAACAGAATAGCCGAGTTGCCAGTATTCAAAAGTCAATTAAGCTGTCGTTTAGCGAGGAAGTAGACGGTCTTTTCTACACAGTATATCACCGTCGAACGCTATCGCCTAAAAACCCCGCTACGTTACATGTAGTTCTCGAATGTTTTTTTTCGCCGGTGCTTCCATTCTTTTGTCGCACTTGGTCAGGTCATGTCTCGCTGGATTGATGGATGCATCGATACTTAGGATTTAAGTTTTCTAAATTGTTGCGACAGTTTATTTATTATATATACCCAAAATTATGGCTTTAAGAAAATAAAAACACATCTTATCCTAAACACAAGAACATGCAAAATAATAGGGCTGACGAAATGCGGTCGTAGGAATCGTCCGAATAAACCGAGACGGTTATTCGCTATTTGATTAAGCCTATAGCCTATAGCTTAACTACGACTTAACTAACGACTAACGACCTAACTACTTAAACATTTGAACAATGAATATACCAATACCACCACCGAGAGAAAAAACACCACGCAAAGCAAAAAAATCATCTACAAAATCACCAAAAGAAATAAGACAACAGGATGAGGCTCAATCTGAAGAATATATATCCAAGACCGATTCGCCACAATACAATGAAATTGTGAGTGGAATATTGCCTGTTATATCAAGGAACATCATAAATGCAATAACTTTACAACTGCCAGCAATGATAGGTCAATGTCTGGAGGAAAACCTGGAACACTCAGGCAACTCCGACATCCTCACCCCCATAACACCTAACATTCAGGATATTCTTAATGATCTGGGCCAATCCATGAGGGAAATTAGAACCGAACTATCAGAAATTAAAGAAAGTCAGACATTCCACACCAAAATGTATGATGATCTGGCAGAAAGAAATAAAACTTTAGAAAAACAAACAATTGAAAACAAAAAAACAATTGAAAATCTCTTGGAAAGAATATATGATCTTGAAGACGATTTGTTCTATGTCTCAGAAAAAGTAGAAGATCAGGAGAGAAGGGGACGTCTGGAGAATCTTGAGTTTCATGGGATTCCTGTAAAACAAAATGAGGACACAGATGAAATTGTTTGTAACATTGCGAATAGGTGTCGACATCAAAGCCACTGATATTTCTGTGTCTCATAGGATGCCAACAACGGGGGAAGAAACAAGATCTCCAGCTATAATCGCCAATTTGGACACCGGAAAAACAAAATCAAAATCTTTGAAAAACGAAAATTTCTACGCTCAATGACACCGAATACCATTTTCAGTAATCCATCAAAAATTTTCATTGCTGAAAATCTGACAGCCCTCAATAAGGACTTGTATTTTAGAGCACGAGCTGCAAAAAACAACTGCGGCTATAAGTTTATTTGGACATCAAATGGGAGAGTATTTGTGAAGAAAAATGCTGAGATCAAAAACTCTTTGAACATTCGTCACGAAGATGACCTTTCTAAAATTCAATAACTTATATGTGAGTGTACCTTTTATTCATTTATTTTCCTAGTTAATCAATACCGAACTAACATGTTATTCATGTAAAAACTTACTAATATCGTGCCAACCAAAACTAACCTGTGAGATATGTGGGTCCAATTTCCATCTTGAATGCTCCCATTTTTGCCAACCGTGCTCAGTTGCATCACTGCCCCATCAGTCATCTAATCAGATTCATGGTGCACTTGCGTTCAATTCTAAAATTTTGCATGAAATAAGTAGATGTGAATGTAAAAAAGTAGAAGTGCCAAATTTAAAAACAACTAGTAAATCTTTTAAAAAAAACGGTCTTATTGCATTTCATATAAATATTCGGTCTCTTCAAAAAAGCCATGATAATTTAGTGAACTTACTATCTGAATTTATTACCCCCCCTGACCTCATTGCGATATCCGAAACGAGACTTGGTATTAATCCAATCTCAAACATCTCCTTACAGAACTACGAGTTTGTTCATAAGCCCTCCAAAACAAGTGCTGGTGGAGTAGGACTGTATGTGAAGCAAGGCTTAGTCATCACTGAAACTCAGGATTATGATTTGAATCACCCAGACTGTGAGGATTTGTGGATAAACCTTAAACTGAGTCCAACTGTTACATTCATAATTGGAATAATTTACAAACATCCCCGAAAAGACATTCCCAAATTTACAGAAAAATTATCCAACAGTTTAGAAAATTTAAATAAAGAAAAGAAATTGTTTATCTTACTAGGAGATTTCAACATAAATTTACTAAGTCCAACAACAGATCTGGCAACCATGAAATACATTGATATGCTCCTAGCGAATTTGTCACTGCCCTTAATTACCTCGCCAACAAGGGTAACTCGTTCATCCAGTACACTAATTGACAATATTTTTACAAATGCGATAAAATTTGACCTAATGAGCTTCATTATTCTTAGTGACATCAGTGATCACTATCCACAATTCTGCACAGTCTATGATTCAAAATTTAAAGGGGGTCAAGATCAAGATAAAATATTGAAACGAGATATGGAAAACTTTTCTATTGATGCCTATAGAACCAATTTAGAATCTTCTCTTAGCCCAATCTCAAATTGCCAAATCACTAGTGATAACTTGAATACTCTATTTGAAACATTTATAGAAATAATTCGGACAACTATTGATCAGTAAAGTCGGAGCGAAGCCAGATTTCTAGCCAAACCTTGGCTCACCAAAGGGATTCATGTTTCTATTAGAAAGAAGCATAAAATGTACAAAACCCACTTCAAAAAAGGTAACGATATTCAACATAGATCATACAAAACTTACAGTAAATTATTAAAAACCCTAATAACTAAAGCAAAAAAAGTATATTACTTCGATAAATTTAAACAAACTTGTGGTGATATTAAATCTACTTGGAAGTTGATAGGACACTTGGCCAATATCAAAAAAGAAAAAAAACTTGCAATCAAAGAGCTAAAAACTGAAAATGGGTCGATGGTATGTGATCCAGTCTGCATTGCCAACTATCTCAACAATCATTTTACCTCTATAGGGCCACAACTGTCTGAAAGTATACCTCAGTCTAATGAGTCTTTTTCGACTAATCTCAAAAATCCAGTGAAAGAATCCTTATTTCTTAGACCAGCAACATTCAATGAAATCTTTAGCACTATAGCAATGCTACCGGATGGTAAAGCGGTTGGGTATGACAATATACCAGCTAAATTTTTAAAAAATGCTGCTGATATAGTGTCCCCTATGCTTTGCAAGTTATTTAATGCCTGCATAGACTGCACCCTTTTTCCCGAATTGCTTGAAAATTGCCAAAGTTACTCCTGTATTCAAAAGTGGGCACAAAGAATGTGCATCCAACTATCGACCTATTTCAGTTCTTTCGACCATAACTATAGTATTTGAAAAACTTCTACACACCAGACTTATACAATTTATAGATAACCATAGCATTATAAACAAATCCCAATTCGGTTTCCAAAAAAAGCACTCTACTAATCATGCGATTCTTGACATGGTTTCTTACTCTTATGACGAATTAGATAAAAAAGAGCATATTAGTGCCATATTCCTCGACCTAAAAAAGGCATTCGACACCGTTGATCATAACATATTAGTTAAAAAGATGTGCCACTATGGTATTCGCGGACATGCATCAAAATTATTCCAGAACTACTTGAGCTCACGTCAACAATATGTCAAAATAGGATCACATTGTTCTAAACTTGAAACTGTACAGTGTGGAATTCCACAAGGATCGATCATCGGGCCAGTAATGTTCATACTCTTTGTCAATGATCTCCCTCATGCCACTAACTTACTTGTGAAACTCTTTGCTGATGATACTGGACTATTCGGAAGTTCAGCTTCATCAAATGATTTGGAACTGTACATGAACTCTGAAATGCAAAAAATCACATCTTGGATGGCTAGTAATAAACTTACTATAAATATTGAAAAGTCCAAATCTCTATTAATTAACCATAATAAAAAAGAAAAAAGTAAGCAACCGATTCAGATTTTTATTAATGACATTCCACTCGAGAATGTCAATTCTTATAAGTACCTAGGTATATATATAGACAATAAGTTGAAATGGGCATCACATATCAACTACATAGCCAGCAAGCTAGCTAGAATAGCGGGAATATTATTTAAATTAAAAACATTTCTTACCACATCAGCTATGCGATTAATTTATTTTTCCCTATTCCAATCATATCTCCAGTATGGCATTGTTGCATGGGGAAGTGCATCATCCACACTGATCCGCAGACTTGAGGTGCTGCAAAATAAATCAATCCGAGCAATTGGTAATGCACCTCTACACACCAGACTTGATCCTTTGTACCATAGATTTAACATTATAAAACTTCACCATGTCCATGAATTTGAGATACTGAAACTCATGCACCAGTACTTCAACGACAAACTTCCAAAGGCATTTGTAGGGTATTTTACTAAACAGACTGCAGTCCATTCATATCGCACTAGATCTGCCTCGCAAGGTGCCTTATATGTCCCAAGATATACATTATGCTCAACACAAAAATCTATAAAGTATATGGGTGTGAAGTTGTGGAATGATTTACCAGGTACCATAAGATCACTGCCATATCATGGTTTTAAAAGAGACCTGAAAATAAAATATATTGATAATTACCTTTCTGGAAGTTGATCATCTGAAAATTTAATGACCAATTCTAATCTGCTGCCGTTTCTTAACATCTGACTCACGACAGCATGTGACCTGCCAAGCGATATATACGCCCCAGCATATATACGCTTTGACCTTGGCTTGTTATTCTTGACAACGCTGATCCCAGCTCGAGCGATTCAGAGGTGCACGGAGTCCTTATATTTCAAAATTGCTGCTTGGTTGGCAACGATTATGCCGTTATGTACCATTGAGGTGTTATATACACCTCAATGTTATGTACACGGTCTAAAAACCTAATTGTACATTTATTAGAGTTTCATCTACTTTTATTATGATTGGTTTCTCTTTGAATTTGGATTTTTTCTCCTTCATATATATATATAAAGAAGTTTGTAATAGCTATTTGGTGGTTTTCATGTTTTTCAAATTTGTTATATACACATATTATTCAATTGTTTGATGTCATGTTTTTTATGTTTTGTAAATAATAATGATTAGAAGCATAGGCGTTAACTAAATTTATTTATTAAGCTGAATCAGCATCGTAGGTGTCGCTGCTCGAAGACCTTTCGTGGTCCCTCGCGACTCCTGTCACACATATGAAGTTCTTTTTTTTACTTATTGTATATCTTGCCATATTTCCGTGATATATTTATATTGATTGTGTTGACGAATAAATGATGATTGATTGATTGATTGATTTAGTCACTAATTATTCCCAGACTTAATCGGACCACCGTAACGGATGCAGTCCATTGTCGCTTGGCAATAAAATCAGTGATTCGCCTAGAACACAAAGAAAAATAATGTAATAATGACGTAGATAATATAGACAAATGAGACCAAAGTGTAGCTCACTGCAAAAGGAATAACTGAACTTGGTTCTCATGACATTTGCTGAGTAATATCGTGAATTAATTTTTGCACAACAATAGGCAGTGCTTTCATCCCCGCATTTGACTGCTATTCCAAGTATGGGCAATGGATGACTTGACTCTCATCAACGCTTTCAAAATGTCATTTCTTATATAGAAGGCTGGAATTTCATTTCATATTTGGTTATTTTGCTTTTTCTAGTTGCCCAGCCTATATATATTCAGTTATCTTTCTGCCAGCAAATCTTTTGAGGCCTTAGCTATTGTGCCACAATAGTGGTCATTTCGGTATAGTTTATTGATATCTAAGATTTATTTGTGAAATGTGTCAACAAAGGATTTGTTCGAATAACTTTGCGCAATGAGTTCTTCTCTTGTTTCAGTTTATGTCGTTATCACCAAATGAGCACCCATTAGGTTGATCATGTCACGTTTGATTATACATGTCCCTTTTAAACACAAACATAATTACTAAACCTGTGACAAATTCAAACTCTATTAATTGGAGACGGTTATATTTTGTATATAAAAAACCCTGAGCAAAATTAGCTCTCATCATATAAAATGCAAGTTTGCGCCCCTGGTTGTATTTGTTCAAGGTTAAGAAATACTGTTCTAGAGCCTATTAGAGAGAGAGAGAGAGATTTATTATTTGTCAACCAGAAAAAACAAATACAATGATAATAATAATAAATATAAAGTAATAGGAATAACGTTTCTTCAGTATGAACTGGAGGGAGCGATACGACCATGCGGTCATCAGAGTCAGCTCCCACCATGTTCGCACCAATTGAAATAAGTTCACAGTAAAAATACTTATTATTATAAAGCGGTTATAAATTCTAGAATTTTGTGTCTTTGGGAAAAAAAAGGGAAACTCGACCAAGGGGTTTGTCTGTTCTTAAATGACAAATAGTTATTTGGAGTTCGAGTAGTAATTGCCCAAATTTTATAGATTTGGGTGTTAATAAAAACATTTATATATTCCATCTAATACAAATAAGGAAGTGGCAAGCCATGAATAGGAAATATTTGGCCATATCAGGACAATACATTTGATCCTATTGATAGGCTTACCATACGTCCCGGTTTAGCCGGGACAGTCCCGGTTTTAGGATGTTTTTCTGCCGTCCCGGCGATAGACTTAAATGTCCCGGTTTTGCAGTATGACATTCATAAATCATTTTTCTATCTGATACTATTACAAAATTGTTTTTCAACGGAGGCAGCCGATTTAACTCTGATTTGCGTCTCATTTCAATAGTTCAGATAGAGAGAAAAATCGTTATGTAATAGTTATGATATTAAGTATATATGAACCATGCGTTAATTTAATACCCAACTGTACTGTCGTTGAATCACCAAAATGCCGGAAACAAAGTGCAACTTTTCTAATGAGTTGAACGATTTCCCATATTTGAAGCAAAGACCAATAGAGAATATTTTAATAAGATTTACAGCTAATTTTGATGCCCGTAATCTACCCACGATGGCATGGAACTCGTGTAAAACTATTACTAAGCCCCTGGAATCAAACCAAGGTTGACTTGTCCAATCCCGGTCCAATCCCGTTTTTTTGCTTCAGAAATATGGTAAGCCTACCTATTGACCAATTCCCATGTACTATAAGGTGGAAATATATTTTATGGGCATCTCTAAATGCCACATTTGGACTATAATTTGCATAGCCAAGTGACTATAAAAGTGATTATGAGAAGGACTGTTATGAATGATGATTGAGTTGTATAGACAAAAATAAGAAATTCAATCCAATATGAACAATTGTGACACTTGAACGATTATCACAAATATACAGATTTGAGAACATAGAGTCATAGACTGAAGTATGAAAAAGTGAGGCGGAAATAAAGTCATAATCTCCTCCAAGAAAATTTAGGAGCTTGGGTGACTATTTTATAGTCCCCTTACAAATGAGCTTTAAATACACCATGATACAACAACTCCTCATTGAGTTGCCCAATATAACTAAATTAAACTAATATATCGTAAGTAATAAATTTAAAAAAAACTATCAAGCTCATGAAATAGCTAAGCACAGGTTTGAAATACATATTTATTGGGAATGAATAGCCACTTAATTTAGTTGGAGACAGTCACATGTATTTTCTATAATGATC